CAGTTACATGTGCAACAAACACAGACGCCGTACTTCTCGCCTCGAAACTGGCCGAAGCAACAAGGCCCAACAACGTCTGAACACGCCGAACCAACAAGCACCCGTGCACCGCCGAACACACGAACAAAGGCTTTGAGCTTTGGATTGGTTTTTCATCCGTGGCCACCTGATAGACGGATAGTAAAACCATGACGCTGCTGTGGACGGTACCTATCGTCCTCTTGTGGTTCCAAACAACGAAGTTCCAAAAATAACAAAAAAAAAATTTAAAAAAAAAATATATATATATATATTTTTCGTAAGATTTGAAGCAAGATTCGTAAAATTGTAAAATTAATCCCCATTCATACATTTTACGAAAAATTCAGAAGAGTTGGCAGGTATGTTTATACGTTTTGTGGACATATTGTAAAAATTGAAATTATTCTCTTATACGTGTGCTGGAAATAATGTTAGACCAATTAATCATCTAGATACACAAAAAACCATTAAAGGCTCGCAGTTCATCATTTCCCATGACAATTATGTGAGCGAGAAAGTCGGCGAGATTGCACAAATATCAGCACCGATTTTTTAAACAGCTACAAATATCAGCCTGGATCGAACATGTATGTCACAAAATAAAGTTTCCGAGAACAACTTTTTAAACTACCTAATTACGATGTGAGACACATCTTGAGTTATGAAAGAATCCGAAATTAAGACCTTTATCGAGAAATTAAATCCAAAATAGAGGTCAGTTTCGATTTCGCTTCAGAATTAAAACACGCATCCTTGCGTAAATATTATGCGAGACATTGTTCTTGTTTTTAGGGTAAAGAGGTGACCTGCGCTCGTAACACCCTAGCTTCCTTGTATTACCAGAAATAATTTTGTGTCGCTCAGTGAAGCCAGCACACTAGGCAGGCTCAACAGCGGCACGTATATCCGACCCTCACTATAACCGCCATTTTGGAAAATGAGTGGCACCACCTATAGTTAGTGGGAGTCGCTAATAACCACGATCCATACCACACATTCTCTTTCTGACATGGACCGCTGACTTAAGCGGTGAAGATGCGTTCCCACGGCTTCTAGCGGATCCAAGCTGATCCGCTAGAAGCACCACTTGCTCTGCATTTCACCGACCATAAAGCAGTAATAATGAAATCGAAACGCAACCAGGAACTCAGCACTGCCTATGAGCAATATAAAAAAACAGCATCATCAGCACTACCTATGAACAATAAAATCAGTATCATCAGCACCCCCAGAGCTTCGCCCCAATCAACATCACCACGTGGAGATGCGTCTTTTTTTTTTACTTTTTTTTTTTATGAATTTTAGGCGGCAGAGGGGTGGGTGATGACTCAGGATATTACGGTAGTTTTACTTTCTATGCAAGCCTATTTCTCGGTTTCTACAAAAACAACGCTATAACCATTTCTAAATGGAGGCCACAAGCTTAAACTCGCCCGGAAATATTTAGAAATATGCTTTTCCATTATGCACGCCTCTGCCTCACAAGGATTTGGAACCCGGAAAAGTGCCATACGAGGTGTATGGCACTTTCCTCAACCACGGCAGGGCTAGGGAAAAGAGACACCTTTTCTTACACACTTTACATGAAGCAGTTAAACCCTCGCCACCATTGGATCACGGTGACCCACAGCATTTTTAAGAGGCAGTGCAACGATTTTTTAACTTAGGCCAATTAATGGCAGGAATTTGTTTACGTCCCCTGTAGAATAAAGAACAGGAAACCATTTTTTCCTGAATGTGCTTTACAAAAAATTAAATGAATTGAAGATCAGAGTACTTCTCAACTCGCACCGTCTTTCGGGTGAGGTGAACAGTGAAGTCTGAAAATAACATGCTTGGTCTATCTTCAGGATTTCCAACCCTCCCTCCATGATTGTAGATTCTTCGAGGTTCTACTTGGCTACAATAGAGCGCCACATCCACTAAGCATCGTTGAAAGTCGCAGCGAGCAATCGAGATAAAAGACAGTTCACCACGGGAAAAACAAGGGCAGCGGCGGAGAGAAAATGGCTTTCTTGATTTAGAATAGATGGTACCAGGAAAATGTGTGTACTCCCAATGACCTGATATTGTGGTTTCGGTGACCGCCACACGCGGCTGCAGGTCCGGAAAAAATTTAGGTTTTTTCTAGGGGTGTGCGAATATTCGAAACTTCGAATACTTCGCGAATAATGCTTGCTATTCGATTCGATTCGCTTCGCTTCGCCCTTTCGCTGTTCGAACTATTCGAGTTCTTCGAATACTTCGAAAACTACGAATAATGCGGAACTCATTGATTAGTGTCAACTTGCGGTCGAGTTCTCTGTTTTGTTTTTGGACTGCGCAGTATGGTTTCAAGCTTGGCAAACCTACACAACCAACCTAAGTGTCTTTCTTTTTTTTTTTTTTTATACGAAGGATTGGAAAGTTATTTGCACGGCGGTAGCACGATCTGTCCTTTGCTTGCTGTGATGTCCGGATTGCAGAGTTGGCTAAGTGGTCATGGTGCAAACGCTGCGATAGATAAGATGAAGGACTACGATTTGCAACGGCACATGCATCCTCGCGACAGACCGCACGACGTTTCGGGCGTCTGCCCGAGACGTCTTGTATACGTTCCTGTCCACATTCATTTTTAATGTAGCACAACCATATATTCGTGATTTAGTACCTACAGTGACTACAGTAGCCAAGGTGCTATGGATTCGGATATGGATTTATGGCTTACCTCGGCTATCGGTGATATCTGGCTTGTGTTATTTTCCGCTTGATTTTCCGGTTCATTAGTTTGGCAGTATTCCTTTTGTTATTTATTTCTACCCGTTTTCACTGGTAAAAGTGAGAGTCCCCCCCCCCGCCAAAAAAGACAACATATTCTTAATTTATTGCATCTTTGTGGTGCCCTCTATGGACAGAACTATTGCACACGGAAAGAGATGGTGCGTAGTCAGTGCGGTTGCACAGCTCGATCGTGCAATCTGAAACTCTGCTGTGGCCTGTCGACCCGCCTCCACTTGTGTACTTCCGTTTACGTTCACGTGGTTGCGTTCACGAGCGTAAAAAGAGGTGACATTTTTCTTATTGCAATAAAAGTAACCTTTTCATAAACGTTTGTTGAAAAAAAATTCCAGTTGTTTTTTATTAAGCATTCTTGTTTAATTCACATCAAATAGAAAATATTTGTTTTCAAATATCTCCTTATTTGAAACTACTATTCGTATTCGAAAATATTCGATTCGATTCGATTCGTAACCTTTATTATTCAATTCGATTTGCTTCGAAAGATTTTGATATTCACGCACCTCTAGTTCTTTCCCTTCGCGATTAAGCGGTGGAATTGCAGTATTTTGGGGGATTTCTCTCACTTATACTAAGATAAACAATATAAAAAATACAAGCTGCAAATTCTTTCTATGTTAAAATCGTTACTCTGCCCCTTGAAATCCTTCCGAGAAGGCACCCCAACTTCTCCATTGGCCTCTTCACTCCGGGATCAAGATGGAGAAACTGCCATACCTGCCAGACTATTCAAGCTTATAGTTCATAAGGCCACCTGCCTGCAGGGACTTAAGTGTAACACCTCTTTCTCTTTGTCTTCTAAAAAAACAGATTTATATAAACAAGCGTTCAGCTATGGTAAGTGGTAAGCTGACAAATTTGTTTCCTTGGCACACTACAGTTATTTCAGATGATTATATAGTGCAGATTTTCAATTATGGGGGTCAAACAGTTGTTCAGGGTGGCCAAGGCAGTACCGGAAAGGGTGCACGTACGCGACTAAAAAAAATTCCATTGCTCCTAGGTGAGAGCAAAGGACCTAAAGAAAGTCGCTCTAGCCCGACCATGGCTCGACAAATCCAAAATGCTCTGCCATAACAGATACTAAAAGTAATCATATTTATTGTAAAGTGTCTATGGAAGCTTCTATTTGTTTAAAGTTATAGTGTCTACTCGCTATACTTCGTTTCAGCTTCCGTCCGAGCGCAGCCAAAGCTACGTGTGGCCACAGCCAATTACACGCCGGCAAGGGGTCACGCGATCTCGCCTGCACTTTTGTATCACTCCGCTGCGCGGCTGGTCGTCTGCTACAAGTTCAAAAAGTGCCTGTTCAGGTTCTGAAATTTAGTCGCAGGGGATGTGAGTACGTAGGCTGACCGCTGGTGTCTGTGTCCGAGCTTTCAAACTGTTCGGCATTTCGGCACAGTTTCGAGACGTAGGTACACAATGCAAGGTGCCCGATGACCCGGCCGTTGATGTTTCCTTGTATTGTCTGGATATACCAGGGCTCGAGGCGCAGTCCTTTCCACCAGCTTCTCAGCGTTCACTGTGATCGGCAGGTAAAGGGGTGCCCTGATTCCGCAGCGTATCAGTGAATTGCAGTGGCCCGGACGATTTTCTTGTTCACAACGCATTCGCGATACGACGCGGCCGGAGTCTTCTGCCGAACTTGAAAGTAGACATTCATCACGACCTCTCGCGCCTGACGCCCGAGCGTGCCTTTGTGAAAGGACGTTTTGAAGCGACTTGGTGAGGAAAGCAGCAAAGCACATGATTTGGCCATTACGGGAACGAAATCACACAGAAAAACCGAGCGCTGCAGGCGTGTTGCCAGCGGATGTACGTATTTTCTCTAAACTACATGCATTTACATATATTAATAAAACATAAACTTCAGATAAATAATTACTTTCGTTGCAAATCATTCTCAGCAGTAGACATCTGGAATACAGTGCATTGTTTACGCCACCAAACAGTTACTAAAAAAAATTACTTTTGCGGACTACTTTGTGGTGCGTAGGAATGCTCTTCTCGAAGTTGCGAACCGTCCCTCAGCCTTTGGCTGCGCTCGGACGGAAGCTGAAACGAAGTATAGTTATAACACTACAGAATTTCACAATTCCCCCAAGTACATATTAGAAAGAGAGACCTCTCTCGCAATACCATCTCAACATACCCACAGTTTTAGGAGAAATGAAACTGCAAAATAACAATGCACTCACCGGGAGTAGACGCCACTAGAGGAGCAGCCACTGGAAGATGGGACGTCAAGGAATGGGGCGCCACATGCACCTGCGTCGTCAATGTGGTGGTGGTCGTCGTCGTCGTCACCGCTGCAGTCGCCACCGGCTTTGGCTTCGTCTTGACCCGGACGACGAGCCCCAGGCCCGCCGCCCGCGGCTGCAGCTGGAGGTGCGGCTGCTGCACGAGGTGGAGCTGCGGCTTTGGCTGCGACTGCTGCACATGAAGCCGCTCGTGCTGCTGCAGGTGCAGCCGCTCGTGCGGCTGTGGCAGCAGGTCCGAGAGGAGCAGGGGCTCGACGTCTGCCACGGACGAGGGGATGGGGGCGGCCTCGCACGATCCCAGGAAAGGGGGCGACCGGGAGGAGCAGGAGCAGGACGAGGAGGAGGAGGCCGGGGAGGAGGGCTGCTGCAGGCACAGGGAGGGGCCCAGACAGGGGGAGTACCCGGGGCTACGCTGCTTGCTCTTCTTCTTGCCCCGCTTGGGAGGCCGCGTCAGGGCGGGAGGCTTGGACTTCTTCCTCGGCTTCTTGGGCTTGGGCTCGGATGCCATCTTGTTGTAGTTGTCCTGAACGTAACGGAGGAAAAACGGCCATCGCCGCAGCTGTCGGACACGAGCTCAAACCCAAATGTTCACTGAGGGACCGAATGTACCTGAGCCCAAGTCGAGTGTACCTCATAGCTGCATTGTAGATTTAAAGCTGGTACACAGCTCATCATGCCACCATAGCAACAGCTCGACGCAAGCAGTCTTCACAAACAGAAGCGGTTGAAGTCGCACTCGAACACAACTGTGTGAATGAGCCTTTAAAGATACTTTAGAATATCAGGTCCCAAGTTTGTGCAAGGAAGAATGAGAAGAAAAAATACTCGTTCACTCGATCCTGACGACAAAGACCGAAGAGCACAGAATGTGTCCCCTGTGTCGCACGGGCAACTGAAAAAAACCACAATCCGTGTGTCGTTTGTGCTAGTACCTATTTTCATAGTGCACCACAGATGTTATCCAGATGAAGACCGAGCGAACAAGCGCGCCGCACAAGCACTACCTTATACTGCTTTTGCGCGATGCATGATGTCTACGAGGCGAGCGGTCACATGGTACGGCGTCGCACCCAATTCTTCCAGAACAGCCATGCTAAGCGGTTCAGTGGCTATATGACGTGCAAGTTCGTCCGCTTCTCGAGCAGGAATTGCGGTGACGTCAGAACGCCGAGCTCCGGTTGGCTCCAGTTGGAGCGACAGTGGGTAGACCCCAAGGCAGCTAGCATTGAGGCCTAGCCACTATCCTTCCAGTCGGAGCCAATCAGAGTCCATCAGAGCCACAACATTCTGACGTGACTGCAACCCCTGCTCAAGAAGCAGACAAACTTGTGCTCTGCACACTATCCAACTGCCACCACACCGACCCCGATTCGAGCCTCCCTCTGGCTCGCATTTTATATACAAACTTTATAAATAACCTTAATTTCAGGCAACTCTCCAATTGTGTCACTCATTCATGACAATTTTCTCATAAAAAAAACAACTGATAAAACGTTTGCAATGCTAAAAACCCCTGCCCAGCTGTTCAGTTATCAATATGGGGTTAGTGCAAACAAGTAAGTACTGGGAACAGCCTAAGCATGCAATCTTTAGTCTTCAAAAAGCTGTAGGTTAAACTGAAGCTCGCCCCCACTAGATGGAACGAGAGAAGCTGGATCAAGCATGCAAATGACTGTGCACATAAATTCAGTCCACAGAAGTGGAGCACTCACCCTCTTCTTCGCATGTTCGGGACACAGGGGCAGCTCGTGGCACATGTCGAACACGGGAACGCAGCACTGCGTATTGTCAGCAAACTTGGCAGTGCAATGCTCAAACAGGAGCTGATCTACATTGTACATTATGTCTGCCAAGCGGTTAAGGAGCAAACAAAATGTAATAATGTGCAAACCATTGCATCTACTCAATCGTGGCAAACCAAATGTCATCCCGAGAAATTTCAGTAAGCTGCAATATTTCCTTTCTTTAATATGAAAGGAAGTGAAAATCTGTTTGTTGTAGGGTTGGGCAAATATTAAAATTTTCAAATAGTAATTTCAAATATTAAGGTCTTTGGTACACACATTGAGCTGAACTGCAATATTAATACTTTGTGAAGTACTGACATGGTATTGCAATGTGTTGTGATGTTCATGTTGTTTTAAATTTCCAAAACAATGAAAACTTTGTAAATGCTGGCATCTACATCCCAGTAAAATTTTAAAAAATTAAACTGTAACTATTATTAAGAGTCGTTAGGCAGTGGTGTCCTCACTCATCATTTGTGGGGTTTTTTTCCCTTCTTTTCTCCAAATTTGAGATTGATGGGAGAATCTTTCTATACAACAAGCTTTAAAATTTTCCTCGATTGGTACAGCTGGACATTTTTATAGGTTTAATTTTACGTGAAATCTGTCACTTACTTGTTACCACTTCGAGGCTATAATTCATAGAGACTCAAATTAACTGAGCTTAGAAGTGAACAAGTAGAAGCTTGAATACAACCTTCATTACCTCATCTCAATTTTCCTTTAAACATAGTGCAATAATGTGAAAGGCTCGGAGAAAGGCACAGTAACTAGTATTTGATATTCTAATAAAAAATATTCAGCCAAAATTACTATTTACTACTAAAGTTATGGTGAGCACGTTGGTGATAATTAAATTATCAGAAAGAATAAACAAAAAGACGAACATCTTGTCTGTCTTTTTGTTTATTCTTTCTGATAATTTAATCACTATTTACTGTCAACTCAGAATTTACTATTCACACTTGCCTAGTTGTGAACTCGGCAAAAAGAAGTTCTACGTCAGTGTTTATGAAGTTTTTTTTTTCCGGTTTTCCTTTTTTTCCTTAGTCAGGTCCGGTTTGTAGACGCTAATACAGGCATGGAAGGTAAAAATAAAAAAGACCCAAAATATAAATCCACAAAGAAACAGACTGCAGGACTCTAGTATTGTGTGCAACCCCTGACTATGCATTTAGCCAGAAATCACAAGAATGACTTGCTTGTTTTAGATGAGTGGAATGGGATGTTGCAAGTTGCAACACTGTAATTTCACTTGTCTAGTATGGAATTTGTTTCACTTGAACAGAACAGGCATATTATCTTTACCATTTATGGACATTTTTTTCTGTTTATATACTTCAGTTTTGAATTAGAGAAATTCTCCTATGACAAATGGGTTTTGCAAAAAGAACTCGATGCAAAGTAAACAAAATGGGTAGAAACACCCTTGACCTCGTTGCCATCCTTTCTGGCCGCAAAGACACCCTTGTTGGCATCTAGTGTTGCCATAGCAGTGGTTCACACAATGGCAAGGTCTGATAACAATAAGATGTTTATTGCGTTCTTCAGCGACTATGCCGGCCTAGTCCCCCCAACGAGCTTGAGTAAACTTAGAGCGGTAAACCGGCGGCCAAAAATGGCACCCCCCCGGTTGCCGTCATCTTGCCTCTTTGCTACATTAGTGATCATGTGACGTTAAGATGGCTGCGCCCAGAAGTGGGCCAGATCAGATTGGCCAGATCACGGTCAGCAGATGGGCACTCTGGGGCCTCTGGGGCATGCGTTTCAATCTTATTCGAATGGGTCCTCTGTTCCGGCGGATCAAGTCACGTGACAAGACAGATACAGCAATGCTGGACACGGGTAGGTTTTCTAACGCAACAGGTACGAGACCTTCACCCAAAAGTAAGATAGAAGCTGCGTTCGATTTACCTGCACCTCCTGCACCGGTGTAGAAAAGTGTAGGGCGGTGTACTTCCGGTCGCATCTCAATACACACACCGAAAGTAGACTGCCCCACACTTTTCTGCACCGGTGAAGGAGGTGGAAGTAAATCAAACGCAACTTTATCTCACTCCTGGGGTGAAGGTCTCGTACCCGTTGCATTCCAAAACGTACCCGCGTCCAGCATTGTTGCATCTGTCTTGTCACGTGACTTGATCCGCCGGAATAACTCGGATCCATTCGAGTACGAATGGAACGCAGCCCCAGAGTGCCCGTCTGCTGACTGTGATCTGGCCAATCTGATCTGGTCCACCTCTGGGCGCAGCCATCGTAACGTCACGTGATCACTAATGTGGCAAACAGGCAAGATGGTGGCAACCAGGCGGGTGCCATTTCCGCTGCAGGCAGTGGGTTCCGGTTTATCGCTCTAAGGTAAGACTCAAGCTCGTTGAGTCCCTTTAGTTTAACAAACACCGATAAATAAATGGGTTGTGTTTGCGCAATGCTTTGCTCTAGACTACGTTAAAATGCGATTGCACATCGACGTTTGTTCTATGAAGGACATACTCTCGGGACCAGTTATAACAAAGTCAAAGAGAATCGTAAATCACTTCGCTATGACCGCTATTTCGTTATAACCGATTTCGGTTAATGAAGCGCAAAAGGGAATGGGAAATCATGATCGCTTCGCTGTAGCCGCTATTTCGTTATAACAGACTTCGTTATAGGTGGTCTTGATAGTATTCCGCCGATTAAATTGAGACAAGCCTCGTTTCCTCGTTCGGCTATCGATTCTAGCAGAACGAGCCCACATTGCCTCTTTTCCCTAGACTAATGCTTCTTTCTGTTTGCCGGAGCCTCATTGGGATGACGAACACTCAGCGGAACGCTATTTGCATGTTCCACAGTGTCAGTTGGCAAAAGAAATGCTATTGACATTTATTAATAGAAGCTTATCGAGTCTCCCCCTTTGCGCGGTGGTCGAGCGTTGGGCTCGGAGTCACGGGGTCAGGCACATCATTCCCCTTGTGGTCATCCGCAATTTTGTTTGCTCTTCTCAATTCATCTACTCATAACCCTCCCCTGCATGTGCGTTCATTTCATGTAACGAATCTATATTTTCCCGGGGAGGCTGCCAAAAGAAATGGCATTGCATTGAAAACAACCCTACAGGAAACAACCGTGAGATTGGGCAAAGTGGGAACCGCATCTTGCAAAGGATACGCTTTGTACAGTGCCTTGTGTACGGAAGAGCAGGCTGAGCGCACACCCCGCCCTCGTGCTGGTAGCAGCAGGTGGGCTTGTCCAGGCTGGCGGCCTTTCCCCTGAAAACGGGACAAGGTGTTCGTCTCAAGTGACGTTCCCAGGCACCCTAACAGATCTCTTTGTTTCGAAAGGATATCCAGGCTAGCCTAGGTGCCACTGAATGCTCCCATAGTAGTGCACTCCATACTGTCCATTTGTACTGGAGAAACGAGCAAACTGAACTTTCTGTTGATGCCGGGAGAAAAAATTATTAAAATCAAACGTAAATTGTGTACATACAGAAGCCCTGAACAGACACTGAATTACTACTGGTAGGAACATGACGACATGTTAGTTGTGTCTAATACGAAAAAAAAAAAAAAAATGTTAGTCCGTTTGTCTGTTGGCAATCGGACCAGCTATGCCCCCACCAGTAGCGTTACCAAGATTTTTTTTTTGGGGAGGGAAGGGAGGGGGGGGAATGTACATGACTTTGGGTACGGGGCAACAAACTGCATGTGTTACTGCAGATTCAGCTGGATTTCGAGAGGGACCTAAACCCTACATGCCCCTACCCTGGCAATGACTAAGCTCGGGAGTTTTGACTCTCTAAGAACAACCGGGTGTCCCATCCTAGAATGAGAAGTGCTAATGTCCCTACATTCGACAGCTGTTACCGAGCCCTCTTCCGCTTCTGCCAAAATGTGTCCCCGAAGCGAACGAATCCCACCAGTCTGCACATCCTTACGCAGGAACAAGAATGAGGTGCGACCACTCCTAAACACGGTCAAAAAATCTACAGTGCTAGACGCCCGGCGCCAAAAACCCCCGAGCGTGCTCACCCCCTGGGCTGGGCCTGGCAGGAGGAGGAAGGGGGCCCCTCGAGCAGCACCTGCGCGGCCCGGCGGGGGCTGAGGCGCGCAGCCTGCGCCAGGTGGTGCACTAGCACCTCCTGCCGCTCCAGGGCGGGGCGGGCCGCCGCCTGCCGCTTGCAGAGCAGCTCGTAGCGCTTGCGCAGCTCCGTGCGCAGCCGGTGGATGCGCAGGTAGCGCACGCTCTTCACCGTCGACGCATCACTGCACGGGCAGAGAACGACGAGCCCGCGGCAAGGTTGGTCCACGCACTGGCTAATAATCGACGGGAGCAGCAAGCAAAGGCTTCCCCAGGGGGCATTTTCCAGGGGCCGGTTCGCATATTTGCGTTCGACCAACCTGCAGCATTACGGCAGGCTGCGACCGCTCGCAACAAGACAACTTGAGAGAACCTGCCGGCACACCGGCACTGTCTACCTGGCAGTCCCGGAAACACCTCCGAACTGCGTGCAACTAGACCAAAGGTTTTGCAGTGTTAAGGCGACGGCCATTAGTGGCAACCTTCCCGGGGAATCGCGTCGTCGTCCTTCGCAAAACTCTGGGTGCCTTGAGCAAGTGCCGGTAATCGGACTACTGCAATCTGTGCGGCCAAAGTGCAATTTTAAATGTGTGCGAATTTGGGCATTACCACAGGCTTTTCTAGGGGTGATCACCCTTTCGAAAAGAAATATGCTAGAACTGGCCCACTTTTTCCCCCATCTCAAATCATGAGAGATCATCAATACTGCAAACACGAGCACCACATGGTCACATAACTTTCCTCTTTCTTTGCTCTCCTCTCTTCTACAGGCACTGCATGGTCCACACTCTGCTGCAGCTTCATATTCCCTTGTGTGAGCCAAAGTAGGCTCGTTTGATTTACCCACATCTCCCACGCCAGTCCATACTCTGTACACACTGCCTCATCCGATTTCTGGAAGAGCACAGCACTGCCCTTTCCTGCACCACAGTAGGCTAGTGCACGCAAGTTGACGGAGCACTTACCTACATCCTCAGCCGACCACTTAAAACAATGTGCTCGCAGTAAGCACCCAAACCCCACGCCTGAAGAAGTTGCAGGTATCTGTGGCTATAAGTGGTGGCAGAGGTATGCACAAAGCCCTCTAGATTAAAGGAAAGTATGTTCAAGGTCTTTGCTTTGCTGCCGCAATGCTCACTGGTTCATTAAAACAGCCTGTGGTTTAACATGTTGCTGCTTTCGAAAAGAGGAATAGCACTTTATGCTGCACTCCGCTACGGTATAACACCCTCTGCTTTTCACCGAATTTCAATCACTGTTTCAACAGTGTTTACCTACTGAAACCAGCTTTTCACCATAAGAAGTGAAAGGAAAGTCTACTGGGTATGCAGCAACAAAATTGAGAGATTGCATGCCTCAAGACGAAAAATGATCAATCACCTGCAGTCGAGATCACAATTCCAAAATGAAGGCGGCCTCTGCCACACATTTTCGTCGTCATCGCTTGGTTCGCTATCCGAGCTGTCCAAATCTGAAATGGAAACAACAGTATTTAAGCGCCGAGATCACAAAAACACTATCCTTGCAAGAAAATGAAGGTCAAACTGCACATAGATTCAGAGCAAAACGTTGCTCAGATTAAGCACCTACCCCTGCCAACTAATATCATTCCTGTAAAATTTCACCAAACACCAGCATATTCTCTAAAGTGTTAATCGGTGAAAATATACTCACCTAATTTCTATGAATACTGCAAGGACAACCACCAGAAAGAGTGTGACAACCTACATGCTTTGAAGCCAACATTGTGCATAGTTACTTAGCAGTGTTAAAGCCAAGTTGAGCCAGAGTTCAGTGACCTGTCCATCGACTGATGCACAGGAACCAACGTAACTAGAACACTCAGTTGGGAAACTCGCCGTCGAAACTTGGGCCGCTGGCGTCCACCGAGACCGAGCTAAATACGACAACAGCGCCACTCTTTATCATTCGTCTGTACTGTGGTCACCTTGAGCTTCTAGAAAGCATGTTTTTGCGTAAAAACAAACGGAAAAGACTCTTTTTATATGAAATTTATTGGAGTTTAGTACCAAATGATGGGCACGTGATGTTTTTAAAATCTTTAGGTTGCAGGGTTTTGAGGCACAATTAATATTGCTTTTATACAACCATGCCTCAGCGGTGCTTTCAGGTAGCGCGTCCCGACCTAGGTGCATTTTAACTTCGGTAGTAAGTCGCGGCGCGTCCGCTCGGGAGACGGGGGTAGCACCCCTGTAACCTCTTCCGCTGTATCTGTTTCGGCTCCATAATGACCTATTAAAGCCAAAATAGAAGTAACGTGTAGTTCCTCGAGTGGCCGCTGCGGGAGAAATGGCGGCATTGTGTTCGTCATTAGCTCGGTTCTCGAGGACAGATCGGAGCCACTTTTTGAGATAAGGCTCTAAGGCAGTTTCCCAACTGAGTGTTTTAGTAATGTTGACAGGAACTAAGTTTCCAATTACCCATATTAAAATACCGTACCAGAGGAGTGCCCACCCCCACCCCCACTGTCACTGAAAACTGGGTTGATCTAGACATGGGAGCTTGTCCGGTCAAATCAGGCAATGTATAATTTGCAGAAATCCCAAGTTTGGGAAATTAATTGTGGGTTTGAACGAAAGGGGCGCTTCCGAGTATTTAACAATATGGGTCAAAAAATTTTCTCTGCTTTTTTTTTATAATTTTAGTTTAAACTATCGGTTGACCTATATTACCAGCAGGGATGGGCTGTATCGCAATACAAATGTATCGTGACGATAGTTTTTCAGAAATACCTTTAGTATTTATATCTCTGTATCACAATACAATTTTTCAGTCAGCATTTGTATGTTAGTATTGGAATACATTTTTTACATACTCCTTGTATTGCGATACAAACCAGGGCCAATGTATCTAGTTGCAATGTTCGAGAAGTCAATGACCTTCAAGCGAAAACTCAAGAGACTGTTTCCTTTCTTCTATGCTTCAGACCTTGACACTTTGTTATCAAGCAGACCAAGGTTTGTGTTAAACATTATAGGTAACTATTTTTTGTAGAAACAAAATGTTAAAGGTACAGTGAGTATGAGCTTTGCAACTGTACATTGCACTCCCAGCCCCATCTACTAGGGTGAATGTAATTTTTCTTTCTTGGGATCATCAGATAAAAAAAAAAAATCATGTTATTCCAAGGCGACATCTTCAAGTGACTGCAGAAAAGGTATTGACATGAGACTAGAGGATACTGATCTTTTGGGAATATTTAAATAGATATAAAATGAATTTAGGGGTTCATGTGATATTGCATCAGAGGCATGCAATATATCTAAACGAGAACCGTGCTGCATTCTGGATGGGAAGTATTTCCAACCTATTGAATACCCGCTTACTTCCCCCCAGCTTATGTTAAGTGGAAAATGGCAATTCCATCTGAAAATAATTTCGGGCTAAAGAACGTCCAGTTCAACTTAAATCTTTACCTCACGGTTAGTATTTTTTTTTGTTTTCACTAGAGGACTCGTTTCTCAACTTAGAAGTACAAACCCTGTCAATCAGGCCTACATAGTATCACCTCCAAGCGAGGTCTTCATATACATAGAAAACCGAAAAAACAATAGTGGCACGGTTTAAAACTTCCTCACAGTGAAAGCGGTCTTCTGTTGGTTTTAATATGAACTCGTGTTCGCTGACATTTGTGGAACGCTTAATCTCGTTCGCTAACACAACTCTTTGCCCAAATCAGAAGCGGCTGACCAACGAGCTATTTAAAATGCTACTTCTCATAAAATGTAGTCAAGTGTAGCAGCAAATTTCTATGTTTACTTTTGTTTTGTGTTGCCTTCATCTGAAAAGATATATGTTGCAAAAAGTTGTCTAATTTTTATTTTACAAATAGTAACTTTTTGCCAGTAATACAAGGTCACATCACAAAAAGCTTTTTGAAGAGAAGTGCATCCGAGTATTACTGCTCCGACAAAATGAATTCCTGTATTTGCATTTCCAGATACTTTCCTATTTTTCAAATGTAATTATGATATTAATCGCAATACTTCTGTAAGGATAAATTTCAGTATCAGTACTTTAGCTGTCTACGTCATGTATCCCAGCATTCGTATTTCCAAATACATTTTAGATTATCTCTGCCAAACCCTGATTACTAGTGTGAATAATTTCCGAGCTGATCGAGATAATGCAAACTCTCTCTGCATCAGACACTGCTCCTAGCACGCCAATGCAGAGGGGTGAAGCTTGACACGCGCACACCACTGCAAAGCAGTAAAGATCAAAACAAGCTGTGCGACGCAAGCCTTTCGGAAACGTCCTTAGCATCCCCATGCACTATTGGCTTCATTTGACCAACGTGCTTTACTTTCAGATTAAGCCAAAGGAAAGGATTTTCATTTTATGTTACAATTGCAACGCGTGTGATACCGTACACCTATACAAGGACCTTCTTTTCCTGTTTTTTCTGCTTCGCTAAAGTGCATCTTGGTGCAAGCGTCACACTATTCTTTGCAAAAAGTGGTGTTTTGGCACAAATGGAGCAGCACTTCCATCACTGCTCATATGTGTTTGTGGAAAGTAGACGCCTTTAATGCCACATATATTGCGTCTTTTAAACTACTGTACAAAAATACTGCCGCTGAGCTTTGAGAATGTGTGCATTACCAGATACACTGCATCAGCTAACTTCCCATCAAAAAGCTCTGCAAATACCAAGGGATCATCACCCAACAGGGACGGCTAACTGTGGAAAAACGGTATTTTGCGACCTGAACCGAATATTCCCCAACAAATTGATAGTTACTGAGCAGCCAACCTGGATATGCAGCACACATATCCAATCCATGGCCTGCATGCAATGACATGGTTGAGCACAGAAACTGCATCACGGTAAAGAGGCAGAAACCATTCCAAAGAGAAAGAAAAAAAGTCTGCTCTTCTTTTCAAAAGCAAAAATCCTGTTTCTGGCTCCCTACCCTCGTGTGCTAGTGTTAATTTGCCCGACTAAGCTATATAATTTGCAAAACTTGAACCTAACATTATTTTACCATTTCTTTTATACAAAAAAACCCCAATTTTATTTATCTGCGAAGAGGAGAAATGCAGTTTGCTACTTCCTGCTTTTCTGGGAGTCATGCTCCTTGAAATAATATATGTCCCAGTTTGATGCCTCTTTTCTGCTAAATTCCTGACACCATGGATGCTTAAACACAAAAATCAATGATTAAGGTCAAAGCCGCCAAATAATTCTAGAAGACTGCAGCTTGGAGCTCTCGCTATTTCTGCCCTCATTCTTCACTAAATTTTATCATGCACCACATTATACAAGCAGTTTTGACAATAGCGTACCAGGTGTGAGAGAAAAACAAACTATCAATCACGTTTCTGTCTAGACTATGCAGCACTTCGTACAACTCCTGTGACAGTATTGTCTATGGCTACGCAAAGTTCTCTCTAAAGTTCTACAGTAGTTTTGCAAAATGTAAATTTACTTCAGGCAAGCCATCAGCAACAATGCTGGTAAACCTTTTATGGCTTTTTCTTTATTTGTTTGCATGTAAGCAAGCAATTTTTCGTAAGTGTCATTTTTTAGCTTGGTAAATTTCGAAAGTACGACGGAGAGCTCCGTCGACGACAGAACTGCAGAAGCATGCATTTGGGTCGTGCAAGTGCATGTTTACTTTGTTTTTTTCCCGTGAGGTCATCACAGCCCAACTGCCAGAAGCATGTATTTGGGTCGTGCAAGTGCATGTTTACTTTGTTTTTTTTTTCCCGTGAGGTCATCACAGCCCAACTGCCAGAGTCATTTTACCCACAAACAAGCCAACTGCTCAATAACTGATCCGTCGCAATTCCAAAATCTGCGAAAGTCGAGCACAAACCGATGCATTGTTTGTATGGCAGCTACTCTAGCTAAGGCAATCAGTGGCAATGCAAAACAACTCGGACAAGCTAGAAAACACTGCACTGTGTGTACAAAAACATAGCGTAAAGGTGCGCTGGTACGGATTCAACGAGAGTAGGAGCCAGATGTGTCCCAATAACCACCGTATACAAATAAAGTTAACTTGCATTTATGACAGGGCTAATTGCGGAGTGTTTCTCTCCTCCTCTGTTTTTTGGCTGTGTTTTGTTCTTAAAATTGCCCTATAAATCTTAGTAGCCACATTGGTATTTCATTGCTGATGGTCCTAAAATACTTAAAGGGACACTCAAGCGGTTTTTGGAGAAGCTACTTTTTGGTGCGATGGTGTTAAGGAAGTGTCAGTGAATGAGTATCTTCAGTTTTAGAAGGCAGAAACGCCTATTAATCACGCAGGAATAAAATACGTGCGGACTCTTTTCTGTACTTGCGAGGACCAATGAAATTATCGTATGTTTGAAAATTTTGGCGGTCTTTTTAAAGTTTCGCTAAAAAAACAATTTTCAGTTCATTTAAATATGTTGTGCATGATAATTTCACAAGACGTAAAATATTTCTAGTTTAGAATACGCGATAGCGCAATTATCGTTTCACAAACAAGGGACTACGTTTTCTATTTGCCTTCCTCTGCGGGGGGTGAATGTCCCGTTCCGCAGGGATGCGCGGAAGCGCACGTATCTCCGCGCGTTGCAGGCCGGTCGTGCCGGTCGCGGGCCGGCCGGCTCCTTCTATCCGCAAACGTGGCGTCGGTGGTGATCGTCGGAATGGACGGCCTGGTGAAAGCTCATCGTTCCGCGTAAAAGCGCTATCCTTGACTGTGAATTTTCGTTGTGTTTCGCTATGATAACCCAGCACGTACTAGAAGGGAACATCCACCTACTCGTACGGCGATGTCGTGGCGGCACTCTCAAGATAGCAGAAACGCCCGTGCCGTCGTGTTTGTTTACTTCGACTACAGTGGTGCTTCCTAAGCATTTGTGTCCTCGAACATCGCCCGGATTTCTGATTTGGCGCATTTCATGCGTGTGCTCAAGTTCAGGGTATTACTGGCGCGCACCGTATAAAGGATACGAATTTTCACGCGTTTTCGTCACCGGAGAAAAGTGATTAGTGTTAGCAATCCTGAACGCTCACAACGTCTATCTGATCACAAAACCATATTTCTACGTTGCTATATCGCTGCTAAGATTACATTGTCTTTTATAATCGTAGAAAAGGCGTGTGGCGATATTTGTACTATTGCAATGTCGTGTATTAGAGTCCTGATCGTCCAAGACGGCGCTGCATCTCTTTATTTTTTCATTCGCTGTACCCTGCAAGCCTATCAAGAAAAAATAATAAAGCTTTAGACTAGAAAACTGTCTGTCTATATTCTGTTACGGCATTGAGTAGCAGTGCGTCCCCTTTTTTAGAGGGGCCGCTGACACAGCTGACGGCGCCGTACGGAAGCGGTCGCCGTGCTGACGACCCGCTGCGCTTGTTGTAGTGGTTACAGGTGTGTGTACGCGCGGCGCAGTGCGGTCGTTCCGGTTGCAACGGACGCAGTCGTAGGTACGCGCTCGTTGCACATGTCTGAACCAGCCTTCCCCCCGTTCTCCCGAGGCGAAAGTCAACGTGGCGACATCGTTTGACATCACGAACCAGAGGTAACGCTGCAATGTCAAACGTTGGTTTGGTTACGACTTGCCCCAACCGCAAATCGAAGAACGCCCGAAAAGGTCTGCGTTTCGTCGTCCTCGGAACCCGAACATGACTCCGAAGCGCTGCTATCGTCCACATCACACGTCGGAGTGGCGTCATAGGAAATCATCCCCAGGTCGGCTGTCCGCCGAAGAACTTCAACCTCTAACGGCGTCAGGTCCTCCAGCGTAGAGAACTCCGCCATGATCGAAGCCCGAATGACAAAGAGGTTCGGCCGATGCGGCTACCCCGGGATCACTGCGCGACAGAACGTCGTCCAACGCCATTGGCCCGAGATCCTTTTGATAAGCGTGCGACGACCAATGAGAGTGGTTTCGTTTTCGGATGGATCCGAGGTTTGGCGGCCTTCAATTACATTTTTATTAAAGAAATAATCACCGTATGACTATACTTTTTGGTTTTTAGGGATACTTAAGGCGTCTAAATTCAGCTGTCATTATCAAAACACGAACTCAAAAACCACTTGACTGCCCCTTTAAGGGTTTCTCAGCATAACCTTGTCATCATTCTAAAGCAGTCCGACATCAAGACTTGAGCCAGCGACCTCACAGCAGCAGAGGCAGCGTGCCCAAATATGGTCCTTGACGGCTCTAGGGATCAAAAGCATCATGAGATGGCAGCAAAACATTCCTCGCACCAGAGCCGTACATTGGGAGAGTTTGGCCAGTGGGTGTGGCGACGAAAATGCCAGGAGGAGAAAAGTGAAGGAAAAGGAGGAGAGCACTAAAGGAGCGAGAGAGAAAGAAAGGAGCAAAGAGGAGATGACCGCCATTTTGATGCAACGCTGTCGGCGCAGAGCACTGTTGTGGGAGCAGCCAGGAGTTCACACACATGCGCTCACGCCTTTCGCTCTGCGCCACGAGCCAATTGGCTTACTCGGAAGGGGGTGTTACGGTGGCGAGATCATAGGCTGGCCAAACTCTCCCCATATACGGCTCTACCTCACACATGTCATTTTCCACAGCCCAGTCTGGGACATCCCTCCTCGAAAGAAACATCTCAAAACTTACCGAGCGCCCCGTGAGGTCCTCCAGCCGCCGCTCCGTCCTCTGCCTCGAGACCAGCTTTTTCCAGCGCCCACACCTGCCGCAAATTGCGCAGCGCCGCCGAGGGGCCAAGCGCCAGGGGGGGCACAGCCACCGCCGGAGTCGCCGCCAGGACGGTCGCGGAGGTCGACGACCCCTTGACCCTTGGTCGCGGCACGCGCTCCCTGGCCGCAGCCACCCTAACTGTGGAAGCTTCCTGTTTGACCGCGCACAGTCCCACGTCCCGCACAAACGAGGAGGAGGCTGCCGCCACCCGCTGCTGCTGCTGGTGGTTATGACTAGAAGAGCAACAGGAATCCTGCTGGGCCTTCTTCAGCTTGTCCAGCAGCTTGTTCTGCGCTATCTTCGCCTGCAGCCGGTTCATTGTCTTAGACAACTTTGGGGCACCGGCCACGCCGCCACCACTAATCGATGCACCGCTGTTGATTGCAGCGACGGGGGCAGTCTTGGGCTTTTGTTCAACCGAGCCAAACGTCTTGACCGAGGCAGACTGCTGCCCGTGCTGCTGGACGTGCAAATGGACCTGCTGCTGAACATGCTGCTGAACATGCTGCTGCGGCTGCTGAAGCTGGGCCTGGAGCTGTGGGTGCGGCCGGTGGTTCGGGAAAAACTCGGAGCCTGCGGCGCCATTCTCCAGCGCCCGGTGGGGCTCGGGAGGAGGGGGGGCCGCCGCGACGGGGCTCGCCTTGGGAACGGCACTCCCCGCGGGGGGTGCGGCGGGGGCCTCCGAAAAGGCATAAGGGTCCTGGGGCAGTCCCCCCGGCAACTGTCCACTCAGGTGGCTCTCGCGCTTCAGCAAAGCCCGCAGGCGGTCGGCAAACTTGAGCTTGCCCTCCGAGGGCAGCGCGAGGGCCGCTTTCTCTTTGCGCAGGCGCCGGTGCTCCCTGCGGCCGCTGCTGGGTGCCTCGCTCGGGTGGGCGTACAGCCGGGCTGGGTGCGTGGGCCCCGTCAGGTGGCCATTCCTGGGCAGAAGAAGGAGGGCTCACCTCACACGCTAACCGCCCAACACCTATCGCAGCGAGGTCGCTTGGCCAATCACGAGACACTTCCGGCACTGTAAAAACCAGCATGGTCCCACGACTGATGACTTCCTTCCTCACACTCGGCTCAAAGCTCAGAGTTGGAGGTCATGCTCGTCCTTTTCCCCCTCGCACAGGCACACGCAAAGAAACCTTTTTCCTAAGCTGCCAGCTCGCACTTCTCGAGTACTCAACAGAGTACAGATTAACTAGGCTCTTTATAGCGGTAAAGGATTAGTAATTGTAACTACCCTTGGTAGCAATCTTTAGGTTGCACCCATTGTCCCGACATACTGCTTGCCTGCTGCATATAATTAGGTCTTTCCACTATAACAGGCAGTTTTAGAATGGCGCGCACTTTGCATACACAAAGAATAACGTCGTCGCCACTGCGCATGCGCCGAATGCAAACTGCGGTTTGCACTTTAAATGCGCTATTTTTTGGAAATTGCGTACATATGCAAAGAATCTTCACGCTCTTCCAAGGAGGACTCGTGATGAGAAGTTGGCGAAAGCCAAGATGAGCACAGTTAAAAAACTGTGCTCACGCACTCACGACGCTGGCCGGTTCAGCAGTGTAGTGAGCACGACTCCGGCAGCATCCTCGCAACTGATTTTTAACGCAGGACAACATTGCACTCGGTTTAGAAGACGGGTAACGATCGCCGGCAACTTGATACTTACAGCACGTTAACTGTTTTTTGGCAAGGGCGTGGTGTGTAAAGGTCAGTACACGAGGCCTCTCTTGCTAAGACGATGCAAGCGGTCGACCGATCATGCCCGCTTGCGTCGCATTCTCATATTTGAACAAAGCTAAGATGCTACTCTAGATTAAAAATCTTGTTTTCTTTACTTAAGTTCCAGCATTTTGTGTGTGAGATAAAAATTTCTACTGTTCCTTGCTGGTATGACAAGCGCGAGATACTTGAACTTTTGCGATGCAGCGGAGAAACACTATTCTAAAACTCTTGCGTAGCGTGTGCTAATGCAAGTGCTAAATTTTGCGCTAATGTGCGCTGAAATTTCGAACATTATTCTAAAACTCTCTATTGACAGTCAAGATTAGGGACGCTGAAAACGCTTCACCAAACTACTCCTCCCCGTGTGGTGAGATAATGTCCGAGCCTTCGCCGTTTACAACCTTCACATATTATCAACATTCACAATGCGTAGAAGTTTGCTGAACAAATGATTTTCATACATAATGCAGAAAATGAACAATAGTTGACATTACAGAAGCCCATGACAACTGTGAGAGTTTTTGTTGTCCACTCTTTCCAACCAGGAAGTGCGCTGGCTCTGCTCCTTTGGAAAGGATACAGCTGTTGAACTGCTCTCGCCATCTGCTAGATCAACAAGGTCTTATCAACCACTTATCAGAACAGAACAGTACATACTCATATTTTTTGCATAGAGCCACAAATATGCTCTAGCATTAATCGCACTTCAGTGTAGGACATTCAGCAGTAAGGAAGACATGACGGTTAACCACTACATTTCTCTTTCTCTCTCTCTCTCTCTCCATCTCTATCTCTCTTTTGTTTGGGCAAATTTTCAGAGTATTATTTTCCTTTTCGTCACCCATTGGTATTTAGCTAAATGACATTCAAGACATTGGGGTAAAGCCGCTATCTGTAACTTTGTAACAACAGAGTGCATAAAGTACTCATTGTAAAAGAAGCAACCCAAGATTCGATTGCTCACAATTTATACTCACAAAATGGGCAGAAATAATTGGCAAAATCACCAACACGTGAATATATCATCAAATCATTGCTGCCTAGTCCAGACGAGTGCAAATTTCTTAACCAACAACTTGTAAACCCTATAAACTTTGATTGCATTACCCCACATCCCCTTTCCACTTCCTGAGTTACTGCTCTGTGATTAAAATATCTATAAAAATAACAATAAGATTACTTTTTTCCAGTCCTCACTGAATGTTTGAACACACTTTCTTTTCCTATATACAAAAATAATGTAGAAACCCCTGGACTAATTATGTCGACCTGGTACTGATTGTTTGTACACAGTATATCAACATTTATGGGTGTTTTTGTCTGCTTTGCCTTCTAATCAATGACTTGTGACAGCTTTGATACTGTCCAACAGCTACATTGAAACATATAGGAATACTGCATCAAAATCTGTATTTAACAGCTGTTGATATCTGCTTCTCACCCTTCTAACCCAAAACGATTTTAAGGTAACTTTCAAGAGTTATCTGTGTCCAGTCTGAAATGCTATGGAACATTAGCACTTTGACATTCAGTAAAACAAGTGATGTGTAATCCGGAAACTATGAGTGGCAAGCGCTTCCTCCTAACCACCTACAGCTTGACGTTTCATGGTGGGTTTGGTACGTCAAGATTATGCGACAACCCCCCCACTGGGGCTATGACAACTTTCCAGATTTCTAGCCTGGAACAGCTTTAAACTTTTCATCAACCTTTTTTTTTTTTTTCTTTTTTTTTTTTTTAGAAGAGGAAGTGTGTTATTAAGGGCAGATGGTCAAATGAGCTCCATGGCATGTAAGCTAATCAAGAGGCCTTATATCTAAAAGGAGGCAAGAAGAAGCAAAGAAAGTCACCCGGATAACCCGACTGATAATGAATGAATGGGTGAAAGCATGTTATTGCCTCCTCCACAGACTCCACAGATAGTAAATGCGACAGCCAGAAAATCCTTTCATCTGCTTCTAAAAACCAACCCAAAATAAGTTACCTATCAGCCTAATTCAATTAAAGATTCTGCATGAACACTGCTAAGATAAGCTTAGTTTCATAACTAACACTTTAAATAAATTAATGAAGGCCTCTGCAATCAAACCATGGGTTTTAAATGCCACCAATGGGATGAAAGAGCGGCATTTCCTGTTTTCTGCAAACAGTGTTGGGAAACCCCCCCAGATGCTCCAAAAGAATGCAGATGTATCGCCTGTGTGTCTGACACCAGGGGTGCTATGTTCGACAAATGTTTCGTTTCTCCTAAAAAGAAACGGAAGCGACGCAAGGGACGATATCGCGTCTGATTGGCTAGAGGCTCAAATGACAAAAGAGGAAACTTTCGTCATTTGAGCCTCTAGCCAATCAGACACGGTATCGTTCCTTACGTCACTTCCGTTTCTTTTTAGGAGAACCGAAACATTTGTCGAACATAGCCCCCCAGGACCACCCTCAACAGTAGGCACTAAAAACACTCTCGCCTAACAATAAAAACGGAAGCGCCAGCCTCACAGGCAATCAGTTGCTTCAGTCCTCCCTCTGAGAAACGAAAGGAGGGGGCGCCAAAAATAAACACACTCTTATCATTCCCCACAAAAGCAGAACAGCATGATAACTCCGGTTCATGAACCTCTCGTCAGTAAGCACGCGTCGCCAGCATACATTCGACACTGCAAACTGATCTGTCAACCTAGAATGTAGCAAAATCGGGGAAGGGGGAGGGGGGTGCGCACAAACATGTTCGGTTATAATTTTGACCAGCGGCGATTGCACACCAAATGAAATTCTGCTATAAAGAGAAGAACGGCAGGAAAGAACAGTCGATAAACGTAGTTGTTTTTAAGACGCGCATGGATCTCGAAAGCAACCCACATCTGACACCTGCCAAAAGGTGACAGGAAGGCGGGGGTGCACGGAGGCACAATATCGAACACTCACTGGTCTTCACTGGAGAAGTTGTGACACTTGTTGTTGAGCTTGGTGACGTTCCCGCTGCCGTGAGTGTATCCGAGGGTGTTCTCTTCGAAGATTTGTCGAATGCAGTAGGTGTAGCCATTCAACTGTCCCGGTTTATATAATTTTGTACTGGGGGAGAAACCAGATCTTTTAATTAGCGGACATCCACAGCGATCGGTGGACGTCACACTACGAAGTCGGACATATCGCGTAAATAATCCTAACGCGCAGCGACAGGAAAGGGAGAGTTAAAACTCGGCAATGTTTACATTTCTACAGTCTCGGCGCGCCTGTCGCGAACGTGATTTTTCATGCGTTGACACCGGACACTTCTCGCCTTCCTAGGCTCGAATTTTCACAAGACAAGCATTTTACAGAAATTGCGCGAGACAAATATCGCCGTATGCGGCTGTCCAGTGAAGAGAAATGAGAAATGAAGGGTTCATTCACAGTCGATCATCAAGAGAACTACTAAGCCTAACCTAGCGTCTCTCGGAAAAGCAGAATTAGGCTTACAGAAAAAGGTGTTTTAACTCAGACATCCTGTCGCGTTAGGGCTGCGTTCGAACGGTTGAAATTTTCCTGGACACCAACACTAAGTGTTTCCGAGTCGTTTACATGTTTCCACGAATAATAACGGGCGCTATTCCTAAAATCATGTCACATTTGAAGGTCACTTTCTTAGGGCTAGCTTCACAAAGCATAAACACTGTCAAAACTGAATCCCTCGCAAGAAACAAAGAGTACACGTATAATTATTTACCCATTTTTGTTCATTATCAAGCTTCTCGCTTTATGATGTGCGCTCCTTAGCCGGAACTTGTTATAAGAGTAAATCCAACATCCGTGTGTAAAATCATGGTAAGATGGGAAACCACAACAAATAATATGGCTGCCGTTGCATTGACACGAGTTGATTCAGCGTCCGCTTCACTTGCGCTAACTAGTATTTATTGTTCTAAATAATTTTAAGCAAATAAACAAGTCAACACTTATTATGCCCCACATAATATAAAACTATTGTTTTATTTTGTAAAACAAAACATATTGTATAATTTGAAATGCGAAACGTTCACCACAGCAGATTGTGTCAAGTTAGCTCAGGCTGGCGGCGAAGCGAGGTTGGCGACAGCAGCGACAGTTGGCGAGGTGCAGACAGAATTGCGCTTCGGAGAACTCGCTTGATCGTGCTTTTGGTGTACCAGACAGCGAAAAATCCACAAGGTGACTCCTACATTCATTAGTTTTAGGTAAATAGTGCACGTTAGCTCTATGTAATCCGTTGCTGTAGTCAACTGCATTAAGTAAAACAAAACAAAAATCAGTTTTTTGTTAAAGAAACGATTCCATGTCTTTTCAGGCAAACATGTCTCAAGACAGTGTAATGCCAAAGATCGACGTTAACAAGGAGCTCAATGGCTCAGCGCAGTTGAATTACATGAAGCTCATGGAAAAGGAGAACATGGAAAGAGTGAGAAAACTTAAACGCATTCGGCACAGGAATCTCCTCACTGGGCTTCTCTTGACTGGCGGAGTGTTCAGTATCTGTATCCTTTTCGCTGGTTCTTCCTTTCCCTCCAAATTCCCTCGCGTCCTCAACGAAAAGCGAACGGACCTTAATTTTTTTTATATTAGATGCCTACTCGATGTTTGCCGTCAAACAAGAAAACTTCCTCGATGACCTGGACGAACCCCTTCCGAAATAGTTTCTACACTTTCTTGAATATCGCCCAAAAAATCCAATGTATAGTACAACAGTTGTGTTTCATTCTTAGTAAAAAATAAACTGTTCATACGAACGGTGGTATGATTCCTTTCTTCTGTTTGGCAGAGCTCTCCCAATGTCTGTATGCTTTCTCATTCTTTGCTCTCTTTTTCGCAGTCTGCATGTCTGTGTAAGACAGATTGCTGCAATGGGTCGGTATGATTTGATGCTACCTGTGCCCCTTGGCCCTTATACAATAATCTTATTTTACTCTGATATGCCATCATTAGGAACCAGGTTTTTTTGCTAGAGGTACTGAATGCTGCATCATAATGGAGTTATACTAGCTAGGGCAGTAACTCAGTTTTCTCTGGAGGAAACGAAGTTTGACTGTAGAAGAAGCTGGTTGGATCCTCAGAATGGAAGCTTGACATTTTCCAGTTAATTTAACTCGGGGCTTCAGTGCTGGTTTCTGATTGGCTTCAGCAAGGAGGCATTTTTTTTCAGCAAGGATCTCTCCTTGCCACAAAAAACACCAAAAGCTTAATTCTATGCTTCATCATTGAACATCCAAGCACAGCCATGTGGAAAATCATTGCTATACTTTGTTCACCCCTAAGCAGAGACTAGAAGCTCCGCCTTCAGCACGTATTCTGCCCTTGCTAACACAAGGGTGAACAGGCAGGCACGTGCAACCAAAGCGCTGCAGAAGGCAGCGAGCTTGCGCTGAAGGTGCAAGCTCGCTGCCTTTCGCAGTGCTTTGGCGGCCTTAAGCTGTGCAACAGTTTCAGTGCTTTGCTTGAATAAGTTGGTGCCTTGAACTTTCTGAAGTAAAGAACAAAAAACGCTTTTGCTTGCATGTCCTAGTTTTTATTTTAAAAATGGACAAAGATTAAGGTTTTTGGCACCTCTCAACTCCTTCACCTTCTTCCGAGTTACGTGCGCTGCGACGTCAATGGGGGTCGCGCGTGGTTCCGGTGGAGCACTCTCTTTAGAGCCATCAGTGAGCAGCGAGAACTCATCCGCTCGCGACCGCACGTCCACGTGCTGGCGCAGCACGAACAATATGGTGAAAGGAGGAATGTCTTATCCGTGTACGGCCACCCCTGTCCGGCTCTGTCCCCTTTCCCCTCTGGCTTCCAGCAGCTGTTCGCGGTAGCAGATAGAGCTGACGGTTTTGTGAACCTAGGATAGGTGGCGCCACTAAAACTCTGTATAATAAAAGTTTTGTCGATGATACCAGGTTTTTGACGCATTTATATTTATGTTGAAACGACAAGATATATAGAAAAGTTACATTTTATCGAGCAGGTATTCGCAGCTCTTTCTATCTTTCTACAAGATGTCACGCTGCGTGGTTCTCATGGCCGCCGCTGGCGGCTGCAGGTCGGGGAATATTCTAATTTTTGCCTCGCGATTATGCAGCAGAATCGCAACATTTTGAAGGAAGGAGGTGTGTTTTCTGTCTTTTCTGACTAGATAAACAATGTCAAAAGTAGAAGATGCCAATTCTTTCAACACTAAAATTGTTGCACAGCTCCTTTAAAGGGAAACTCCGCACAGTTCCGAAGATTTTGTGATAATTAGTGATTTCGCATTAAAAAGCCCTAGTAAAAGACAATACGTCATTTGCTTCGCGAAAAATGGGATATTTATTTTGAAATTAATTTTAAACATGAACAGAGATTGAAACAAACTTCGACTCCATCTGGCAGCATTGACTTGGAGCCGCCAAGAACACGGCTATCATGCATATGAGATGTCGAGATCCTCCACGCAACGACGGGCAGGATTGAGGCAAGCGTGTGCCATGCAAAAATGTTGTCTGCACCGCACTCTTCACCACGTTTTGGTGTCTACGACATTTGACGACGTTTGCACAACTGCGGCAGAAGTCTGCACACGTAGTGTCCGTAGTGTGGATGAAACTCCAAAAGACAAAAATCACAAACGATGAGACGACGACGGCGGTTGTGACATGGGAGACGGCGTTAACGGCAGGGCAGCCGGATGGCTCCCAAGAAGCGCACTGCGCAGGCACGTTACGCCAACCATGTGGACACCGCTTAGCACCGAGAGGAAACGTTGCTGACGTCACCCATTACGCTTGCCTGGAAAAGTAAAAACAAGCGAAAGGGGTCAATAATGATGATGTTTAGCTCAATGTTGGTTTCACCCACGCCTTAGCCTTGACTGTGTGGTTGGTAGCGCCTCAACTGGCCGCTTGAGTCAGCGATTTCAGCAACTTTGCTAGTTGCAAAGTTTGCCGGACCGTTTAAGAAACATTTAGACAGAACTAGGTCATAATATTTGACGTGGGGTCTTCCTAGGTGATACAGAAGAGGACTGCCCTGTTCCTTCGAAAACAAAAGTGAACGGAGTATACCTTTGCAAAAAGAGCTCTCTAACCACTGCCATTTTGCAACTCGAGTGAGACTTATCAGCCAGAAATTTCTGCCACCCACCCGAGCTGTGGAAACCCAGTTCGCTCGACACTCCACCTGCATTGTACATTCAGGGTTCGACGGCTTTTCTTGAAAGTTTTTACTTTATTTTCCTGTTCAGGATGCTTACACTTTTTGTGTTATCTTTCACTGTGAAAACCAGGGAACACCAGGGCTTGTAGCCTGCTGAGCCTTCGCAGGAAACGAAGAGAGCAAACTTCAAGCAGCCCGCGACGCAGGCTGTTCGACAATCTTCGAGGTATATTTCCGTTGAGGTAATCTTAGAAAAGCCTTCCCGCCTATGTTCCGGTTTTTTGCGAAAAAAACACTGATAGGGTTGTGTCTGGTGTATGAAGACAGAATAGACACATTTGTTCATTTGCTTTGGTGCTGCGCAAATAAGCAGCTCTCTTCAAAACGTGCCCCAGAACAAGTTGGACTCCGCCCGGTAGTCGTGAAGTGACTAACGTCGACACTTATATTGGATATGCTGTGTTATTTGAGTCCTTTCTCAAATCCTGTTCGGATAATGCGGCACCGTGGGGTACATACAATATGTTGTTTGATTGATGAGACTCATTGAATTTTATGTTGTTAGCGGGGAATACCCATGCAGTTCGACTATCCTTTGTGGTCAAATATTTTTTACAGTTAAGATCGTTGTAGATTGACACGGTTGAGTGTATGGTGGCGTAAAAAAATTAGATAAAATTAAACAAATATTTTAGTTGTATTTGTTGCGCACATACTCACCAAAATTGACTTTCGTTTATTTCTTTTTGTTCCCAAAAATAATACAAACGCTTTCTTAAAATCCTCGAGAAAATCTATTTGCCATAGAACACAAAATAAAAAATAAAACGTGGCAATTTAGCCACCACCAACATCTGGAATTGCACTTACGCAGGCTGCCATGCCCACTGACGAGAAAACCCACAGTTCAGCCCATGCCCCTCCCCCCCCCTTAATCTTGTGATGAAATCAACATTACTAAATTACCTCAGTCGTGGAACTCCCGTTGAAGGGGGTACCCCCCCTCAACGACTTCAGTCCGCCACCCGTCGTCTCAAGCGCCATCTAGTTTTCCGTTTCATAACTGCGTCCCATAGAGTATGCTGGAACGCCATCAAGGCACTGCTTTGAAACATACATATTCCATAAAATACACTGCAGTAACCATAGCAGCTGTAGAGCACATCGAACGACAGGATGCGAGCCGTGGTGACTGAGGAGGGTACTGTTACAGCTTAGTAGAATACAGTGGTGTTGGGAACAGAGCGGCTCGCGTGAAGCGAGAGATTGCGATAGGTGTCGACATTGGCGCATCGGCAGTAGGGTCAGTATAGTGCTGGTTGTGTGCGTGCACGCGCACGTGTTGCGGCACGTGCGGACTGCAGCGACTTTCTGCTACCCTGTCGACTGCAGTGCTGTGATTGTTGTCTACACAAGCATTCTCACAAGTTCCCATTGTCGAGTCGTGCCCGTCCAAACACTACCCCATATTCTAGTACACTTTTGTACTGCTTATGCAAGCAGCGTCTATGAGCAGTTCTGTAACTGAGCTAATCTAATAATGGATAAAACTGACAAGATAAAATCGGGTTTCCTAGGCTTGATTATCTCCAGTACATTAGTCATTTTGGACCAAGATTAGATCAACATTTTGTTGAACGTCAAAGCATTTCAAAAGCCAAAGATTTATTGCATCAAGTTAACAATAATAAGCAATTGTGTTGTCGTACAACAGCTAGCG